CCGATCCAGGTTCGATCCAAAGTGGGCCTACTTCTTTGCTTTTTTTTTACACATTTTTTTGTAGAACATTTGGCGTTATTGACATTTTTTTTTTTTTTTTTTTTTACAATCGTCATTGAAAACAAATGAGGTCCCCGCATCTTGCCGGAAGCCTATTCTAACAAAGTGCCCAGCATTCAATTGCCCATAAGAAGGTTCCAGGTGGGCCTCCACTGGGTTGTGCTAGATTTTCTCTTCGTTAGGTTCGCTCTAGTCCTCTTAACAATTGTTTTTATCTCGCACGGAGGCGTTTCGAAAATTCAGTGTGCTCTTTGAATTGTTCGTCCCATACATTGTTCACTCTCTCCAATCTGAGCTTCAAATTCTTTGGTTTCTGTCACAGGAGGTGGGCCACGAACAAGCCGGCCGATGAGCCCCTCACTCATTCTTGTGGGAGCGGCGGCAGACCACATGGAGACAGTGGTGACAAATCTCTGCGACAGCGACAGGGCAAGAGACCGGCCAGTGCTGTCGCTGCCTCCGGCTGCAATGTTTGAAGCAATGGTGCGAGGCACTGAAGGCAATGACAATCACGCCTGCTGGAACGACGTGCCAGGTAACTGGGGGCTTTTGGATTGGGACAAATTTGCACCAACATGTCGGGGATGGGTACCGTGAGCCGTAAAATGTCTACTTGTATTCGCGACTTGTATAATTTTAACAGCAAATCTGGAACAGAAAAAAAGGCACCGAAGCCTTTTTCTTTTATTGCTCGGCAACGTCTACACTATTGTACATATCTTCGAAGTTCCAAAATTGAAAATGCGAGCAGTGGGTCGTGACATAGTACTGATAGTACTGTGAATTGAAACCAAAACTAGTGGTTAATAGACCTGTTGCAAAGCGTACAGCGCCACGACGGCAGAGAATTTTGGGAAGACTCGGTACAGATCAAGTGCCTTCTCGTTGCGCTTCCGCGACAGCGAGTGAGTCGTGGCAGCTGCCGCCAGCAGCAGTCGCAGCCATCCGCCATCCCGCCAAACCGTCGTTGGCGGCGTACCGTATCTGTGGCAGTGGGCGCGTTAAGTCGGCGCTCTTTTACTCCTCCTACTCCGAGTGCAGCAACTAAACGGCGCATAGCGTACAGGAGCGCGACACACCGAGGCTGCGTTCCAAACCTACTCGAATGGATACGAGTTACCCTGGCGGATTATGTCACGCGACATCAAAAATAGAGAAACGCTGGACGCGGGTAGGTTTTCGACAACCACCTTTACCCTAGAGTTAGATCGAGTAAGTTTTGGAACACGGGCTTTCCCGCAACACATCGTAGGATAGCGGTGGCGCAGCAGGCGTTTGCGACTTTTATTCACGCGCATGTCCGGGTAAAGCTTTATGCCTGTGGTGCCGGGAACGCCATCCAGATTTGGCGACATTCGGGCTCAGTCCAGTCAGCTCAATCCTATCGCCAGCATCGCTCTTTTCAAGCCCTGCGCAGTTTCGTGGCTCCGGGTTCTTTCCTCCGACGTTGCGTCAACCGCATGTGGCGATGGCAACAATCGTAAAGAAACGTACGTCGCTGACGTTCGCGACAAAGCTTGAAATCATCCGCCGCGTTGAAAAAGAAGAAAAGAAGTCCAGCATTGCCGAAGCGTACAACATGCTGCGAAGCACTTTGAGCACGCTGCTGAAGACGAAAAGTGACATCAAACCGAAGGCTGAACAAAGCAAGCACTCCAGCGCACGCCGTGTTCGGACACCGGCCTTCGAAAAGGTGGAAAGATCACTTCACAAGTGGTTTATGGACGCAAGGGCTCGGAACATTCCGGCGTCAGGCCGATGCTTCAACAGAAAGCAAAGGACTTCGCGTTCATCCACCAAGCACAAAACGTCGCCGCAAGTAGCGGGTGGCTGCAACGCTTCAAAGCCTGTTAGAACATTGTCGGGAAGACGGTCTCACTTTTACGCCGCTACTGCAGTGCAATCGACGGTAGTGATCTGGCGCTGGTGGACTGCTTGGAGACAGTGGAGCCGGCCGTAATAAGGCATGCGGTCAGCTCCATGCAGCAATCTACGCTGCGGCAGTTTTTTTCGTCGGAATAAATAGTTCACCTTAACGCTTCACATGAATACTATACTTCGTTTCAACTTCCGTCCGAACGCAGCCAAAGCTACGTGTGGCCGGAGCCAATCACACGCCGGCAATTGGTCACGCGATCTTGCCTGCACTTGGTATCGCTCCGCTGCGTCGCTGGTCGTCCGCGCCGCCCGCGCTCGCCGAGTATTTCGTCTGCTACGGGTGTATCAACGAAATCGTCTGCTACAGGTTTAAAAAGTGACCTTTCACGTTCTGAAATTTAGTCGCAGGGGATGTCAGTACGTATGCTGGCCGCTGGCGTCTGTGTCCGAGCTTTCCACCTGTTCGGCATTTCGGCATAGTTTCGAGATGTAAGTAGACATTGCAAGATGCCCGACGACCCGGCCGTTGCTGTTTCCTTGTATTGTCTGGATATACCAGGGCTCGAGCCACAGTCCTTTCTACCAGCTTCTTGGCGTACAATGTGATCGGCAGGTAAAGGGGTGCCCTGATTTCGCTGTGTATCAGGGAATTGTAGTGGCCCGGACGCTTTTCTTGTTTACAAAGCATTTGCGGTACGATGCGGCCGGAGTCTCCTGCAGAATTGAAAAGTAGACATTCATCACGACCTCTCGCGCCTGACGCCCAGACATGCCTTTGCGAAAGGACGTTTTGAAGAGACTCGGTGAGGAAAGCAACAAACAAGCAGCGAAGCACATGACTCGGCAATTACAGGAACAAAATCAATACTGAGCGCTGCAGCCGTGTTGCCAGCGGACGTACGTTTTTTCACCAAACCACATGTATCTACATATATTAATAAGAACTTAAACTTCAGATATTTAATTCCTTTAGTTGCAAATCATTCTCAGCAGTACACATCTGGAATATTGTGCAGCGTTTACACACAAAACAGTTGTTTAAAAGGAATTACTTTTGCGGACTACTTTGCGATGCGTAAAAATGCTCTTCTCGAAGTTGCGAAGCGTCCGTCAGCCTTTGGCTGCGCTCGAACGGAAGCTGAAACAAAGTATAGTCATTTTTTTGCCGTTAGCCTTTCACTGATTAAATCACGCTGTACTTTGACGCTCTTTTTGTGTGTGACTTTGTATATCGAATTTTGATTATATCAAGCTATTTCACGGTCCTTGCACTGTTCGATATAACGAGGTTTGACTAATTTGCCAACGCCTAGCTTTGAACATTTCTACGAAAGGCCCATGTGGCTGTTGGGCCTCTTCCCCTGTGTACTTGCTCTTCCCCTAGCACTCACAGTGCCAATGTGTTTTGCACGCCCAGATGCTCCTGAGCCGTCCGCCTCACTTCTCCAAGACAGCAGCGTTGGAGCTGCTTGTGTGACTTCGCCGGCAAGGAGCATTACCTGCCCCCGTGCTGAGCTGCCAAGCGGGGCATCCAGAAGAACTGGAAACCGCATCGCAGCACTGGAGCGGATCATGGCTCCCGAAAAGGAGGCCCGTGTAGACGTCCTCGAGAGGGAAGATCGGCGGAAGGAGGCGCAACATTTAATGCAAATGCGCATACTCCGCAACAAGCTTTTTGAGCAGCGACGACACGGACGGGCAGAGTTCCAGCTGCTCCAGCTGAAGAGAGAGATAAAGGTGGAGCAGCTGGCAGCCCTGCGCTGCAAGCTACTAGGGTGTGGAAATCACAATTAAATTTGGGTTCTTTCAGTTTAAAAGCATTCCGAGGATTTACTTATTTATTTTATGTGCGCTACATTGTAGTGAAACGATAGAACCTAATGTGTTTTGCATATTCGGAAGTTGAATGAAACAGCACACTACAATTGAAGGGAAGGGTAGGTCTTTCGTTAGCTCTGTGCTGGCCACAAGTCTTTCCCAGAATATGTTAGATTGACCAAATACGCGGAATTGGATTTGAAAATCAATTTATTCGAGCGCTTACTACTGAATTCGTGTCCGAGTATTTGCACGAGTCAGTGACGGGTCAAGAACAGAGTACAAGCTGGAGATGAGAAGTAGGACGGAAGCTTTAAGTGGAGAGGAGGTTTCTCCTCTCCACCTCAAGCTTCTGTCTGCTTCCTCCTCTCCAGCTTGTACACTATCCTTGACCTGTCATTGACTATAAACATGTGCTACTGGCTGAATATCCCTATTGGAAACACAGTGCGATGATCTGTGTGCGTTTCAGCGAGCCGTTGATTGTGTCGACAGGGTCTGGAGGTGATGGCAGTACATGAGGACGCAGCCGCCTCCGGCGTCGGGGCACTGGTGGAGAGGGTAGAGCAGGTGGGCATGGCTCTTTTCGCAGCAGGGCCAGGTTGTGCAGTGCAGCACAGGCGGTGATGATGAGGGCTGACCGTTCCGCCTTGTACTGTAGCCGCATGTCCAGGCATGGGAAGCGTCGCTTGAACACTCCAAATGCCCGTTCGACCGAGTTCCTTGTTTTTAAATGAGCTGCTTGGTACCTATATGATGCAGCATTGGTAATGGAAGCAACGTTGCAAGATAAGGGTCTTCAGGTGTAAAAATCGCCACTGCTGCAACCATCAGTATGGTTCAGTAACCTGTAGAGTGCGGCCCATCCATGCTAGCTGCATTTTCGGCATTTTCTATTGCTTACCAGAGGCTACTGTTCTGCATACAGTGGTTTTGGCTGGTGTTTTCTACATTACCGTCTTAATTCAAGTTCTTGGCCCTAGTCCAATTCTAGTGACAAAAAGCAACAATTGACACCGACTAACTGTGACGAGGAAGAACAACAAATGTTCTCGAGGAAAATAAAAATAGAACTAAAATGTTGTATGCTACATACTTTTGAAACAAAAATTTGTCCACAGGAAGTGAATAATGCCAGCTTTTTTTGCCATACAAAGGCCCAAAGGTCATGAATCTAGCTGTGACAAAGATTTGCAGAACTAATAGTAACCCATAGGAACACTGTGGCTACAGCATCACTTCTTGTTAGCTGTTCTGAATTTCATGCCATTATTTCTTCCAACAAATTAGTACATACCTGCCCTTTGGGCTGTTGGCTACACCTGGGCTGGTCAGGGGCGTCAGAAGAAATGACATGCAGGCATAGCCTGCATCTCCGAGCAGCAGGCCAGGGATGCGCCGATTCTCGTACAGGACCCTTGCACGACTGTTATCGAATATCCTGCTGTCATGCACGGAGCCTGGCCATCTAGCAACAAGGTCAAAAAACTGCAGCTGGGGTCCTGTGATGGCCTGTGGATAGGAAGGAGCAGTACAGGGATGAGCAGGTTGCCATGATATGAACACAAGTGCTCAAGCTGATATTTCTACTATGATTAGTATATTTTTGACAAAGTGCATCTGCAAGCTTTGGAAATTAACAAGCATTTGAGTTCTCGCAGTTTTATGTGACGTAAGCTTCAATGTGGCTTAATTCCTAGGTTTTTCACCTAGGAATTAAGAATTAATAGAAGAGAATTTCAGCACGGGATAAAATCTCCCTAATATTTTGTTCGAAAAGTATAATTCAAGGGGAAAATGTTATAAAACATGAGCGTTTGCTATAAAATAACAAAAGCCACCTCGGCACCCAATTAAATGTATGTTTCCAAACACACAATACATAATTCTTGGTTTTGAGCCCTCTCTAGCTGGCCCACCACCACTCTGCACTGTCGCAGAGTGCAGATCTCTCTACAAGTTCTAGTCTATATCAGTCACAATATCGCCGAGCTTTCACGTGCCACACCGGGTCTTGGCGTGCCGTTGTTTTCAACTTACTTCGCTGTCGCTAACAGCACAGACAGAAGTGAACTTACCTGCACGTTGAGGGAGAAGAACCCCTTCCTGTTCCTGAAGACTTCCCCATTGGGACCGCCAGGTCCCTTTATTTTGACGTGGGTGCAGTCGATGCACCCAGTCACACTGGGGAACTTCCCGATGTTGTAGAAATCCCGCATGACCTCGTCGCAGTCGCCCTCCGGGAAATCCACGAGGCGGGGGAAGAGAGTCTCGGCGAGGACCCGGGAGACACTCTCGATTACGCGGCACACCGTCGGCTGCGACACGTTAACGAGGTCGCCCGTAACAACTTGAAAAGTCCCGGCGCCATAAAATCTCAGCGCTACGAGGAGCTGGAGCATCGGGGACAGTGGCAGGCCGCGACTGCTCTCGTTTGCTTCCAGCGGCAGGCACTGGAGAAGGCTTACTACTGTCGATTTCGTAAAACGATATCGCACCAGAAACTCCCAGTCGTTGAAATGCTCCAACGGATTGAGCCGGTCCCGGCAACGCCGTCTCGGCACATCGACGTCCTGGTCGGGGTCTCGGCTGTCGTGAAGGACTTCGTCCGTTCTCAACACGAAGTCGACGAAGTCGGCGAACGATGCGTCGGCCGCCATGACACTGAACGCACTCGAGTGGCTCGAGTGGCCGTTCAAGGTAGCTCCCGCGCACTCGAGATCTCGAGTAAATTTTGGAGTTTCGAGTGGAGATTTTGGAGTCGAGTGGAGTTTCGAGTGGAGATCTGTTTATGAATCACAAAACCACCCTCAAGTCGAGTTTCGAGTCGAGTTTCGAGTCGAGTAGCGTTTAAGAATACGGCGCTGCTAGCTTTAGGTCTACCCATTAGTCATTCCAACCAGAGCTCGGCGTTCGGATGTCTTCGCGCGCTCTCGTCCAGTCCTCTCCCTTACTTTCTCGGCGCATAGCTTTTTGCCACTACGCACTTCATTCCCACAGCTCATAACCGGTGAGCAACAGAGCGACCTACGTCCCAGTTTTTTTTATTGTTATTTATTTAATATAGCATTTCTTTAACATAGCATTATTTAATATATATTATCGTACACACAACACACATACACCTACAGATATCAGCAAAATTTTTCAGGTTTCCGAAACGTTTTTACAGCAGAGGGCTAGTTTCCTCAGGATCGCGTCCGGTACCGAACGAATGTCGACACAACTCTATGGTTGCCGCCTTCGCTCATAGATGGCGGCAACATTTCTTCGGAGGAAGAAGAGCGGGAACGGAACGAGCGGCAGTTTGCGCAGCAGCGCGAATTGTTCCGCAACCGCCGCGAGTTCGCTATCGCCTAAAGTTCCACTGCATCGAGCGCTTACGATTCTCTTGCGAAAGAAGAGCAGATCGCTCGCCTGGAAAGCCACCGCCGAGAACAGAAGCTACAGCTCCGTTGCTCTTCCTTCTTCACCAAAGTAAAAAAAACCTAAAAGGTTTTTTTGTTTTTTTTTTACCATTGTGTACATATGTTTTGGAAGCACCGTAGGTATTTATCCACCCGCTTCAGTGAACGTCTATTCAAACAGTGTATTGGTCTTGTTTATACTGGGTTTGCGAGGATGCTTTGAGCATCGAACATGACTTCTGGCTTCAGAAAACATCGTTCCTGCGAAACACAGCTTGCAGCTTTTAGCAATGACATTCATATTTCCCTCTTCCTCTTACTCAATTTTTCCAAAGCTTTCGATTTTTTTTTAACTTCTGCTAACAGACTTGTTCACACTTTCCATTGATTCTTCCGTTGTAGCATGAATTGAAAAGTTCCTCTTCTAAGGAAAGTCAGGAGTACACCACTTTCATTACTCCCTTCGGCCGCTTCTGCTTCTGTCGTCTGCCTTTTGGACTTACGTCGGCACCAGAGTACTTTCAGAAGCAGATGGCGCGCATACTCGAAGGACAGGTCAGGTGCGTCAACATGATTGACGACATTCTTGTCTTTGGACGGACGCGCGAAGAACATGACGCGCGGCTCAACCAGGTACTTTCCTGACTATCGAAGGCTGGCATCACTCTCAACAAAGACAAGTGCGTGTTCGGAGTGTCCGAAGTCAGCTTCCTTGGAGTCGTCGTATCAGCAGAAGGTGTGAAGCCGGATCCTAGCAAAATTCAGGCTGTCTAGGCGATGGAAAGGCCTGAGGATGTTGCAGAAGTCCGAAGGCTACTTGGCATGGTAAACCATGTTGCGCGTTTCGTGCCGCACATCTCCGAAGTCACCGCTCCTCTCCGAGCACTTTTGTCGAAGAGCAACGTATGGGCCTGGAATCCTGAGCAGGCGGCTGCATTCATGCGGGTGAAGAACCTCTTGAGTTCAGACTGCTGTCTCGCCAAGTACAACCCAGCGTACCCCACAACAGTTTCGGCAGATGCCAACTCCTTCGGCATCGGTGCCGTACTCCTTCAAGACCAACCTTCGGGAGAAAGGAGGGCGGTGGCCTTCGCATCTAGGGCCATGACCCCGACAGAGATGCGCTATAGCCAAACAGAGAAGGAGGCTTTGGCAACGGTGTGGGTTGTACGACGTTTTGACGAGTTCGTACGTGGTTTGCAGCTCAGTGTGGAGACCGACCATATGCCTCAAGTATCTCTCTTCGGCAAGAGTGAGTTAGACATGTTGCCTCCTCGCATCCAACGCCTTCGTTTAAAGCTGATGCAGTACCAATTTCGCATGCTGTATGTGCCGGGAAAACTACTGGCAACAGCGGACACACTCTCCAGAGCTCCCCAGAGAATGGGGTCTGAAGACAAGGGCAAGGACTCCCTTGACACATTTGCAATTGCAGCACTGGAAGACACGTCTGTTGACCTTCCACTCCTCCCCGAGGAAGTCCAAGCTGCGCAACAGTCTGACGGAGAGTGCTGTGTACTCAAACAGTATTGCGAGGTTGGATGGCCGACGAAGCACAAGCTGCCCGTCAATTTGTCCAAGTATTGGTCTGTTCGAGGCGAACTGTCGCTGTGCAAAGGAATTCTCCTCAAAGGCCCGAGGCAATACTGAGGCTCATGCATGAAGGTCACCAAGGAATTGTCAAATGCAAGGCCAGAGCTCGTGACTCTGTCTGGTGGCCAGGCATCAATGCACAGATCACTTCCCTGGTGAGCGGCTGTGAGCAGTGTGCCAAGACAAGAGTGCAGCCGGCAGAACCTTTCATATCGTCCAGCTTTCCTACTCGCCCATGGGACGTCGTCGGTGCCGAGCTGTTTCATTGGAAGAAGCAGGACTTCATCGTTATTGTGGACTATCACTCCAGGTACCCGGAAGTCTTGACGTTAAGCACCACCTCGAGTGAAGCTACGATCGCGGCAATGAAGTCAGCCTTCGCTCGGCATGGTATTCCGCGATCCGTAAGAACGGATAACGGCCCGCAGTTTGCATCGGGGGATTTTGCGAAGTTTGCAAAAGTTTACGGCTTCCAGCACCAAACAAGTAGCCCCAGATTCCTGCAATCTAACGGCGAAGCGGAGCGAGCTTTCCGCACCACCAAGGAACTCTTAAACAAAGCTGAGGATCCATACTTGGCACTGTTGAGCTACCGAGACACCCCCGGTGTTTCTGGAGACAGCCCCGCACAACTTCTGTTCGGGCGTCGGTTGAGGACACGGCTTCCTAGGGCTCAAGATGAAAGCCTTCCGCGGCCACCATCGCCCGCCCGCGTGGCAAGGAGGAATGAGTTGTATAAACGGAAACAAGGTCAGGCCTTCAACCAGCGGCATGCTGCCCGCGAGCCGCCTCCTCTTCGTCCTGGAGAAAGAGTGTGGGTACAGTTGGAACAGTGTCCGGCCACGGTGCTCAGCCCAGGACAGCGTCCCCGATGCTATCTGGTGGAAGCTGACCACAGTGGAGCGGTCCTTCAGCGCAACCGCAGGGGACTGGTTCCTTTTGCATCCCCAAGGCCTCCGGTTGAACCACCCGCAGCTGACGGTGTGCCTCCAAGCCCAGTAGCGGCTCAGCAGAACATTAGTAGTGACCCAAGAGGGCCGCCTGTGTCGAAAAGTCCCTATCGGACTCGCAGCGGACGAGCCGTGACCCGCCCCAGGCGTTTAGACTTGTAACGGCGGACAGTTTGAAAACATTGCAGTTGATGGGACTATTGTGAACAATAAGTGGGTGCGTTTCGCCGCAAGAACTATTTGGCGAAAACGCAGCCTCTAAGAAGGGGAGATGTAGTGGTCGCTATTTGTCCAGCTAGTGGCGCCCTCTTAGTGTAGAGGAACGTGCGTGTTCTTTAGAAGAAGTGAAGGAGAGTTCTTTACGAGCAGCCGTCGGTGCCGAATGTCTTTTACTGAGCTCCGCCTCACAGGGTTTGAGAGGTAGGCTCTGAATCCTACAGAACCCACCATGTCCACGTCAATAACTGCCGTTCCCGCAGCGCTCCTGTAACCACTGGCATACCACAAGGATCTGTTTTGGACCCTGCTTTTTATTGCGTAGGTTAATGATCTCTCAATTTTGCTTTCCTCCGCGATCTGCCTGTTTGCCAAGGACCGCGTTATCTACAAACCTATAGCTAACACAAATGACTCACTTAATCTGCAGACTGATCTTGACCAAATTAACGCATTGCGTTCAAAGTGGCAAGTGATTTCAAATGTTTCCAAATCTAAATCCCTCTTTTTTTTTCGAACTCACCAACATCTTCATGTTTCCTACTCGTAACCTCAACGTATATTCCGGCTCAATTTAGAAATATCTTGGCGCTCGCTTTACTCACGACCTTTCCTGGAAAACCCATATTAGCGGCATCATTCCCGATTAAAACCGCACTCTTGATTTTCTACAATGTAATCTTCGTCTCGCGTTCTCCTCTGTCAACCGCCTTGTACGCGTCAAGTTACTAAGCCAAAAATTAGAAAATGAATAATCAGTCTAGGACCCTTACCTGGCATAGAATTATTTCAGAACCATGCAGCTTGCTTTATAACGTCTCAGTACTTCAGGTTTGTTTCCGTCACTGAACCTAAACAAAACTTACCTTTGATTCCGTTATGTTCACGCAGGCGTATTGCTAAACTGTGCCCTTTTCGCAGGTTTTATTACGATGACCACCTGCATAGCTCATTCATCTTTATACCTCATCGCATGTCCCCTCATGTTGATCAGCCTGCAAAAGTTGCCCTTCTTTTTACCCCAAAAACCAGAATTCTTTAAATTATTTGTTCTGGCGACATCTGCGGACTGAAACGGCCTGCCCGAATTCATCGTCTTCACTGAAGATATTGACTTGTTCCGCATTTTTCGTAAACTTGCTTGCTCCCTTATGCAATAACCCTGGCTCCAGGGTTCGTAAAGTATTTAAATAAAAAGAATAGATAAGTAAATTTTCTATCGATCTGCTCTGGCAAAATCTTGGCTGCCTGTCGTGTTATTTTTATATTTAAAACTCGTCAGGTAGGGTTGCAGCACGTAACGCTTATATGTCGACGTCCTGTGGGCGTTGTCTAAAGATGCACCCGCAAGAGGCATTCTCTGGGAGAATAATG